AGTAATTGTGGCTTTTGCCATTAAAATGCCACAATTACTTTTGTACCAACCTAATACTTAGTTTTCATCTATTCTCATGTAGACAAAGTAACTGAATCCAGACTCCATGGCTGTGGTTCCTGGTGTGGTTTCCTTCCTCTGGCACCAACCATCAAACCCATTTTCACCATCCACTGTGAATGTCATGTGGGTCTGAATTACTATGTTCAGCCCTTCAAGTGAACCAATGGAACTTAGTTGAATGAAACCACAGCCTCTTGTTTCTAGAAGCTTCTAACATGAGACTAAGAAATGTGATTATGTAGAGAATGACTAGTAAATAATTCTTAGTTTTTTTAATTGAGCTGAGGGCAAATAAAACACAAATGAGATTTTTTTAGTGGAACTGATGTTTGCTTTTTGGTTGAAATTTCCTAGCTCATCAAATACAACACAACCCCAATGGGAGAGATTGAGGTTGGATATATCTTCCAAAGAATGCCACTTTCTAAAAAGGATAGTGTTTCCACTGCAACAGTTTCAGTCCTCTAGATAGAATCTTCTCATATAAGGACCTTCCTTAACACAACTATAAAAATGAACAGAATATTGCTGGGCATGGTGGCATGTGCCTGTAGTCCCAGCTACTCAGGGGGCTGAGCGAGGAGGATCACTTGCACCCAGAAGTGGCTATTCATGGGTGTGATCAGAACCTGAACTAGCCACCGAATAACCATTGAACTCCTGTCTCCAGCCTGGGTAACATATTGAGACCCCCATCTCTAAAAAAAAAAAAAAAAAAAAAAAAAAAAGAATGAAAGAAAGGAGGGAAGAAAGGAAATGAATAATATTGAACCCCATCAGAGGAATAACCTCTGCTTCTCTCATGTTTAGTGTGCTGACTTGCTTTTCTTGGTTCTCAAATGATGCAATCGGATAGAGCTGCAGCTTCCTGGTTGAGGGTTATTTTTTCATGCCTATATTTAAGATGCTTAATTTTGTGATTCATTCTTTATAATTAGATATAATGTTTAGAATATATCTATGTATATCACATTCACATTTTTCCTTTGAGGGCTATTCTTTTCCCCTCTGAGCTGATCTTAACTGCAAGCTTTTTTTTTTTTTTTTTTAAGACAAGGTCTCACTCTGTCACCCAGGCTGGAGTGCAGTGGCATGATCTTGGCTCACTGCAGCCTCCGCCTCCTGGGCCCAAGTGATCCTTCCACCTCAGCCTCCCGGGTAGCTGGGACCACAGGCACACACCACCACGCCCAGCTATTTGTGTGTGTGTGTGTGTGTATGTGTATTTTTAGTACAGACAGGGTTTCACCATGTTGCCCAGGTTGGTCTCGAACTCCTGAGCTTAAGTGATCTGCCTGCCTCAGCCTCCCAAAGTGCTGGGATTACAGGTGTGAGCCATGGTGCCTGGCCTCAACTGCAACCTTAAATTTGCAATTGCCATGAGTCAAGAGAGCCCCAGCTGTGTCCATGTGGAAAACTGACATTTCCCCCAAGGTTGGGGGGGGGGTGTGTGTGTGTGTGTGTGTATATATATATATATATGCCCTGGACCATGTACAGTTGAAGAACATGGGTTTGAACTCCACAGGTCCTCTTACAAGCAGATTTTCTTCCATCTCTGCCACTCCTGAGATAGTAAGACCAACCCCTCAACCTCTCCTCTTCCTCCTCAACCTACTCAATGTGAAGATGATGAGGATGAAGGCCTTTACAACAATCCACTTCCGCTTAATGAATAGTAAATATATTTTCCCTTCCTTAAGATTTTCTTAACCCTTTGTTTTCTCTAACTTACTTTATTATAAGAATACTATATGAAATACATGTGGCCAGGCACAGTGGCTCACGCCTGTAATCCCAGCACTTTGGGAGGCTGAGGCGGGCGGATCACAAGGTCAGGAGATCGAGACCACGGTGAAACCCCGTCTCTACTAAAAATACAAAAAATTAGCCGGGCGCGGTGGTGGGCACCTGTAGTCCCAGCTACTCAGGAGGCTGAGGCAGGAGAATGGCATGATCCCGGGAGGCGGAGCCTGCAGTGAGCCGAGATCGCGCCACTGCACTCCAGCCTCAGGGACAGAGCAAGACTCCGTCTCAAAAAAAAAAAAAGAAATACATGTAACATACAAAGCTTGTGTTAATTGACTTTATGTTACCCATAGGGCTATTAGTAGTTAAGTTTTGGGGAAGTCAAAAGTTATATGTGGATTTTGACTGCATGGGGGCCGGCGCCTCTAACCCCAGCACTGTCCGAGGGTCAACTGTGTACCTTGTTAGCTTGAACTGCAGCTCTTTTCTAGTGCACTGGCCTCACTTTTTTGGTTTCTTTGCCCCTGGGGCTCATGATTTTTAGCCTGTTTCTTTTCTCTTTTGCCCACAGATACGGTTCAATTGAATTAAGCATTCCTCAATACTAAGGCATTGGAAATAAAAACAACCTATTTCTGAGAATAAAACAGGACAGCTAGCATGACACCAGTGGCCCCAGCTACTCACCCTAACCCAAATTCTAGGATAGAACACTCAGGATCTGGGCACTGGACACTGATGATAAAGGATTAGATATTAATGATCAACCTGAACCAAGACATAGTCATTGCTCAACTTCAATTTTTCTTCCTTTTTTTTTTAATAGTGAAAATCAAGAGGCTGGGCCTTGAAGCATCTCAGCAAGCATGACGTCCTCTACACCATACCCTCTGGCCTGGGGTTCAGCAGTCTTCACCATTCCCATTCCATGAACCCCTCAAAATCAGGAATACAGGTAGGAATACAGGCAGCCCACATAGCAGGCAAAGGTAATGGAACTAGCCCACCAGGAAGGCGGACTGAGAGGAAAACTCTACACATTTCTGGTTTTCTATCTTCCCTTTCCCCTTTTTTTTTTTTTTTTTTTTTGAGACAGTCTTCACCCAGGCTGGAGTACAGTGGCACAATCTTGGCTCACTGCAACCTCCGCCTCCTGGGTTCAAGCGACTCTCCTGCCTCAGCATCCCAAGTAGCTGGGATTACAGGTGTGTGCCACCATGCCCGGCTAATTTTTGTATTTTTAGTAGAAATCGGGTTTCACCATGTTGGCCAAGCTGGTCTCGAACTCCTGACCTCAGATGATCCACCTGCCTCAGCCTCCCAAAGTGCTGGGATTACAGTTGTGAGCCACTGTGCCTGGCCCCTTTCCACTATTTAATGCATGTCTACCTCTTCAGTCCTTTCTACAATTCAGTGATTAATGATTATGTGCTCAGTACCATACTCAGCATTTTGGTCCTCTTCCTGTTTTTCAAAATGTCCCCCTTGCCCCTGCCACTCCCTTTTCTTGGCATCACCCAGTTTCCCACATGTAACTTTAAGAGTCTCTCCATGCTTCATTTTCAAGGACCTGGCTCCTTTCTTCACAGTGAGTAATAGGAGTTGGTCCTTGGGGGCTGAGGAGAGAGGGACAAGTAGCTCTGAATAGCGCCTCAGAAGCTAACATGGCAAAAGAGGAATGTGTGGGTAGGTAACAAAGTAAAGACAACTGTAGAGTGTTTTATTTCTATTCAGGATTTAAATAACACCTTTGTCATCAAAGTAGCTATGTCAGCATCAATGACCTGCTGATTATAAAATTTATCCTTGGCAGAGAGAAAGAGAATTAACCTTTAATGAATAATTGCCATCTGCCAGCACTGTGTAAGGCTAGTGATTCTCAGTATTTTAATCATCAAGGATTCCTCTGAGATTCTTGTAGAAGTTATGAAATCTCTCCCCTAGAAAAATGCAAAAGTACACAAAATTTTACATAGAATTACAGGGGCAAACCATTGTCCTGAAGCATAATCACAGACCTTAGATTAAAATCCTCCGTGCGAGATCCTTGTTATTGAGATGGATATCATTCTCCCCACCTTACAGATGAGGGGACAGGAGATTCAGGGACATACCCAAAGTCACATACCTAATAAATCACAGCCACAGGCCGGGTACAGTGGCTCACGCCTGTAATCCCAGCACTTTGGGAGGCTGAGGCGGGGACAATTACTTGAGTCCAGGAGTTCAAGACCAGCCTGGCCAACATGGCAAAACCCCTTCTCTACAAAAAATACAAAATTAGCTGGGTGTGGTGGCACGCACCTGTAGCCCCAGCCACTTGGGAGGCTGAGGTGGGAGGATCACCTGAGCCTCGAAGGCGGAGGATGCAGTGAGCCAAGATCACACCACTAAACTTCAGCCTGGGTGACAGAGTAAGATGCTATCTCCAAAAAAAAAAAAAGCAGCAGCTATAGACTGAATGTTTGTATTCCCACAAATTACTTTTGAAACCTAATCTCCAATGTGATGATATTAGGAGGTAGGGTCTTTGGGAGGAGGGGTCTTTGGGAGTGTCTTTGGCAGGGCCCTCATGAATAGGATTAGTGCTCCTCTAAAAGAAGCTCCAGAAAGATCCCTCATCCCTTCCACCATGTGAGGTTACAGTGAAGACGGCTGTCTGTGAACCAGGGAGTGCACCCTCAGCAGACACCCAATCTGCTGGCGCCATGTTCTTGGACTCCCCAGACTGCAGAACTGTAAGACGCACATTTTTTATGTTGAGAAGCCACCAAGTCTACGGTGTTCTGTGAAAGCAGCCCAAGCCCACTAAGACAGCAGCAGGAACATTTCAACCTGAGCTGTCTAAACACACCTTCCTGCCTCAAATGAAAACCTCATCTAGGTTTTCCTGTTATTGTAACCATCACTCCTTATTTTTTAAATGAAGAAATAAAAATTATGTGAGAAACTGAAACCCATGTGAAGCATTCTAGACTCAGTCATGGGAAATTAGGAAGCTCAGGATCCTGGAGGCTCCAAATCATACTTCTTATCAGCCAAAAACCCCGCTCCTCCCGAACCCACCCACCCAGCTAAAAACAAGCCAAAGAGGAGCCTTTCTAGAGGCTTCACTTTCCTCAGAACAAAAGAAAAGCTCTCTTGAAAATCAGCAGTCAAAATGTGAACTAATAGACCAGTCAAACCTCTGGATATGAAACAAAACAATTTTAATTTCAGAATATTACAAGAATATAAAAGAAAGACAATGCAAAGGACCGTTTCCTTACAATTACACACATATAGTCAAATAAGAATGAAAACTTTAAACAAAACAGTTAAGAAACCTTGTTTCTCTTGTTGAGCAAGCTCAGGGATAGGACAAAGACAACCCTTGCTCTGCAGAAAGAACCCTGGGGTGAGGGAATATTTCCCCCCACAGGTTCTATCTGTCCCCAGACATGGCCAGGGGAGGGCTCCATGGCTCTTTAGCATAGGCTATGGCCTCACACACTCCAGTCTCCATGGTAACCCAAGCACTCAGGCTATTATGTCCCACATCTCCTCGCTGGCCTGCTTCTGTCAACTCTATGCTGGTAGAAGATCTTAGCATTAGCTGTCTAGGGAAGCTAACTTCCTACAGTGAGTTTTAGTTGAGTTAATCAACACTGGTGTAAAAAGCCTGTGCATCTTAGGAACCCAAATCTTCCCCAAATTCTAGACAAGCCCACAAAATGCTAGTATCTAGGTTTAGATCTAGGTCCTATCTTCTGTTTGAAGGTTTCAGGGTAAAGGAGGGCAGAGATAAGGTTCTCTCCTGGGGAAAGGAGTTCTACACAAAAATGACCTCAGAATGGGGGCCTTTAGCCTCAAGCATCTGTATGAGGCCTTGTAGGAAAGAAGACAGAGTCTAGAGACATCTATTTCTAAAAATCACCCGGTTGCATGGCCAGTCACGGTGGGGCACATTCCCAATGACCACAGGTTCTCCTAGAAGGCAGTATTTTCAACTGTATGCTAACACAGGCTCCTGTGAGGGAAGCTGAACAGAAACATTCCTACTCAGGAGGAGAGAATGGCTCTGTTCTGACACTCTAGGATCGACTGTTCTGTTCTAGGTTAACAGAACAGACCTCTGGAGCACCCAGGTGTCACTGTAGTCAACAGCCCTCCACTAGCCCATTTCCCAAGGGTGTTCCCTTATCCTTCCTGAACAACTCTGGAAGGACATTCTGGGTAAAGAACTTTCTTTTGTGGAGGATCAACTGTAGTTTTGGTTACAATTCATTACCTGCTCCTATTTTGGCACTCAGGAAGAGTCAGTATCTCCTGATGCTCTTTCACTGCTGGCAGGGTTTTCCACACCACATTCATTGGTCCCAATGCAAAAGTTTATCATTGTAAAAGGTGATAAACTCCAACACCTACGGTTCTCACCAGTTCAGTCAGTGGGGTTCACACAGTACAGTCTGGACCAGGAAGGTGGCCTACAGTTTAATATGTGTATCCTGGCACAAGCACAACGGCCCATATTGACACCACATCAAAGCCCATCACAGGTGACCCCAGAAAGAAATGAAGTTGTAAAAACCACAAGAAGAGGCACTCTCAAAGAGATTGTTCCAACATGAAAAACAAACACAATGAAATGGATTCAAAAACAATCTTATAGATTAAAAAACTCTGTTAAATACTGGCTCAAAAACAATACCTGCCCACCAAATCAGAAGGGAGACAGCAGCTTCTGTGGCAAATGATAAAAGGGGTTTTGTCTGTGTTTTCTGTAAGATTCCACAGGATTAGAATAGTTACATATTACAAGGTAGAAGGTTATGCTGCTTACTCCTCAAATTTGGATTCTAAGTCAATCACAGCTTCTATTAAGAAAAATGACCTATAAACCCCTAAAGCAAGGGAAAACATCCTCAATAAATAAACAAAACACACACAAACTGCCCAAGGAGACCAGCTATATAAACGCATGTGCATGTGATAAATATCTCTCTCGCGACCCTCACCCCAGAACACAACCCTTGCTTTCTGATTCCATTCACCCAAAGAGCATCTACATCCGTCTCAATCTCAGCTACTTCCCTTAAATAGAACCAAAAACTAACACAATGACATGGAGCTATCAGGTCACCACTCTGCTCCCTCTACCTGATGCCAGCCCTGTTTAACAGACCACAGCACCACTTCAGGATGAAGCACATCTAAACAAATAAAGGAAAGAAGGAAGAGTTAAGGAAGAACACCATTTCAATTTGGTGATACCAAAAGGGTTTTCTGTTTGAATTAACTGCTATCTGGTATAAGGGATTTCATTTTCTTAACAAGAAAAACAAGTCAAATATTTAATAGAAACCTACGCAAATGAATTTGCTAATATGTGTTTTTAAAAATGACATAAAACTACTCTAGAGAAAGGGGCTTCTAAGCAGTTTTGTTTTCCTAACCATCTATTGTTCACACTCTATTAAGCTGGAAGACCAAATTTTACATTTTTCTCCACTATTGCTGTTACAGCAGCAAAAGCAGCAGAAAGGCTGGCAGAGAGGGCTGCCAGCTGGGCACAAGGCCAAACTCTGCTCCCCCAGAGTCATCTTTCATTTCGGCAATGGTGCAGCATATTCAACAGTTTAGAAATAGGTCAGCAAACCACATTTTGTGGGGCAACTGCTTCCCCATAGTGGCCTGACTCGGCTCCAACCCACAGGGTGAGAAGGGTTATACAGCTCCACAGAGCCAGGCACAAACCTGAGCATTCTCCCCTGCCACGTGCTGCTCTCTGGGCAGACACCAGTTCATCCTAGGTCGAAGCCATGCCACTGCTCCATCCAACATATGTGAACACACCAAGTCCAAAAACCAGAAGCTCTGGCCTCATCTCCAAATTACCACCTGTGCCCCTTCTGACAAGGAGAGGGCAGCACAGTAATACTCCTTGAACACTGGTGATAAGCCACAGTTGCTTCCAAATAAGAACATTCTCTCCTTTAAATCGTGTCAACCCTGCAGAGGCTGCTGCTGGCTTCTTTTTTCGGATTCTAACTCGTTCTCAGGAGACGGTCTAGCCTGCACCCTCAGAGGGTGCAATATAATCCCACCCATAAAGACTCATCCTGGGACATAAAGGCAGCCAGCCCCTCCTAGGCACACTCCAGAGCTTCCCCCACATATAAATATTTTAGCAAACTTCTACTATGCTGTCAGTGACTTTTCTTGAGTCACAGTGATTTGGTTCAGAAGTATTACGTTGGCACCAGAGATGTTTTAGTCAAGAGGAAATTGAATGAAGGTAACAAGTTCAGCAAAACACAATTATTATGACATCACTGAGGAAAGGGAAAGAGAAAGAGATGGACAAGGGAGGGAGAAATGGATGGAAAGAAGGAAGGAAAAGAGTTTAATAATTAAGATTTGTTAAAATATTGTATCATTCTGAATTCTCTTTTTCAATACTGCAGGTCAAATACTCTGGTGTCAGACCCAAGAAATAATAAAAAATGTCCAGAAAAGCTATAAATTCTTTGGACACAAATTAGGTATTGAGGAATACAGCCTCATAAGATAAAGAGTTTTCCCAACGCTCAAAGTGAAAACAAGGGAAAGGCATCTAGCTTAGAGCCCATCCAAAAGCATGGCTTTTAAAACAAAGAAATAAACAAAAACAACCAAATACCCAACACTATCAAAACAGAGAAAAACCCAAAATATCCATTAAAAATAACATCAAGCCACTAGGACTGACAGTGCTTTTTCAAAAATTACTGGCAGTTGAGCACACATCTCATATTTTTTTCAAAAGTGGAATCTGCCTAAACACATTGAATGAGCACTGAAGCCCACCTTACTGTGCTATATAAGCTGGTTGGACAGTTAGTGGTTTCCCCATAATATTAAAAAAGAGAGAGAGAGCCTAGGCACTCTCTCAGAAGGCACAGCTTACAAACATCATCCAGTGAGTGGGATTAGAGGTATCAGTTGGGTCACGGTATTAGTTGGCCTTGACAATTCAAAATGCAGCAAGCAAGCTGCAAGTCCAAGCTTTGCTGTGGGCAGGAGTAACACCTTGTCCACTAAAGAGAAAATTCTGCATGGACCATAGGAGACAACTCTGGATCCTTCAGAGAAATCCTAGGTTGAAGGAAAAACAAGAGCATTAGACATGTTCTTAAATATTTCTTTTTGCAAACATCCCATTCAGAAGCCACAGGGTCTACACTTAGTATCTTCTCCAAACTGAGGGCTAATGAGTTTAATTAAGAATTTGTGACTCTGCCAAATAAACATCTGCCTGACATAATCTCGTTCATTAAATCATCTTAATGGCTATAACAGCTAAGAATAAGTGCATATTTTGTGCTGCTCTAAGTTATTTATGTACATTATTTATCCTCACAATAACCAGTATATGAGGTACTACTCCTACCATTTTACAGAGGAAGAATCCACAGCCTACACAGTTCACTTGCCCGAGGACTAATAGCTATCAAGCAGCAAAACTGGGAATGGAACCCAAGCCCAGCGGAATGCAGAACTCATGCTCCTACCACCACTACCCCTCTCAACAGTGAATGTTTACTAAAAGTCAACTCAGCACAAAGCACTGTCATTTTTCAGAGGAAGAGAAGAACAGGAGACAGAAGGCCACAAATACACTAAGTCTGACGTTTGTCTTCTAGAAGAGAAACTAGTTACAGAGATAAGACAACACATGTGAAGTAAATATAGTAAATCATACTGTCAATATTTTTGTAGCATTAATAAGTTCAAAGGAAAAAATATTATATCTAGCTGCATTAGCCAGAGAAAGTTTCAAAGAGGAGGTGAGATTTAGGCTAGACTTTGAAGAATGGGTAAGATTTTGACTACTGAAACTAATGGCCATTAATAAGTAGGTGCTAAATCAGTAGTTCTCATGTGAAGGTGACTTTGCCTTCTCACCCCCATGGGACATTTGGCAATGCCTAGAAGCACTTTTACTTATCACAACGGGGGGAAGAATGCTCCCAGCATCTACGGATAGAGGCCAGGAAGGCTGCTCATCATACAATGCATATGGCAGCTCCCGCCACAAAGCATTATCTGAACCAACATGTCAGTAGTGCGCCAAGGTTGAGAAATCCTGTACTAAATAAAAGTCTTTTTGGATTATGTTGTTGATCATAGTAATAAAATGTCATTATCTTCTTCAAAGAATATTTTCCTTTATTATAAACATCACTATAAAAAACTCTGGGGTTGTGTATTCATTGTTGTGTAAAAGAAATATATGGCAGGCACCTGGATCTGTGGGCTTGGAGACTGCCAATGTCTGAAGAGAGTTCAGACCTGGAGTTGCCAGGCTGGAAGTAGTTATCACACAGAGAGCAGAGCTGAGCAGTGGAAGGAGACCAAGCTGCAAAGAGGCAGGAGAAGCAAGAGCAGAAAAGAGCAGAGAACTTAAGATAGAGTGTTGAAAAAAATAAAGATGTAGTGGAATAGGCAAACAACAGTAAGCCACTGCAGACAAGGAAAAGAATTAAAGAGAAAGAAGGAGAAAGAGAATAATATAGCATCATAACACCAGGAAGGCATTTCCAGAGAGAGGAAGTGACCAGGAGACAGTAAAGTGAAAGTGCCATTGCCTGATCCAATTGAGGGCCATTCGTTATCTCGACTTCTCTGAACTACTAACATTTTTGAGAATCTAATTAGAACTATATATTCTCTCCCCCAGAAAAACACACATATATACCTACATAAAAGATTCCATCAACAATACCGAGAACTTTATTAGACCATTTAGGAAGTCCACAGATGACAAGGTCAAGAATCCCTGCTCTAAAGCTTACTGGTGAAATATTAAACTGGTTTTTAAAAAATGTCTTTATTTCCAAGGTAGAGTTGTCAATACAGAAAGATATTATTTCCAGATGTCTTTCAAAAATGAAAGCAACAAAAGGTGTAACTGATACAAAACAATGTAGCCTTCAAAAATAACTTATGCTTGGTTTTGATTCACGGACATACAGAAATATTTAGACACAAAAAACTCAAACACCCATCTTGTCTCAATTAGACAGCCCAGCATAGAAGACAGAAGCAAGCAGGAAAGAAAAGAGAGTTTAGATAATTCATTCAAGGATAAGTAAGAATAATATACTGAAATCTAATTTTCCAGAAAAGAATTTATCCAAAAGGATTAGGCTTTTGTTCTCTTTCTATTGCTGATGTCTCAAATAGTAATTATGCTCATGTCCCAGCGATAAAACGATCATGTCAAACCAGACTCACTTCAGCTGCCACATGAGCCTTATATAACAAGACCAGGTTTCAGCCCGTTTTCTATAGTAACAACTATAACCACTTGTTAATGCTTTAACAATGACAATGTGCTGCCAAAACATTATTTCAATTGAGCCTCATAATAAATTAATAAATCTATGAAGTAGATGTAAATTTTATCCTCATTTTCAGAGGAGAAAACTTGAATTCAGAGAGAATGAGTGGTTTTCCTGGGTCAGAGGAATGATAACTCCCATCAGGACTAACCACAAATCTCACAGCCTTTCCACTGGCCCACTTGGCTCCTTCAGAGGAAGGCACAGCAGCCTTTTACCAGAAGAGCCTGGGACTATCAGCAGTCCCAGCATTAAACAGTCCTCTTTGTCCTAAATAGCCCCCAAAATATGCTGTACGATATGACGTCCAGGATTCTTAGGCATGAGCTGTTGATCTGGAAAGCTTCACTAATTAGGGCTAGCCTACACAGAAAAGGAACCTAACTATTCCATAAGCATGCTCCCAGCACTGTTGAACTTGGTTCCACAAATCCATTTACACTTGTTTTTAATTTGCTTCGCAAGTATTCTTAAGGTATTTTCCCCATGTGTCCTGTCTGTACAAGAACACAGGGACCATGTAGGTCTGTGTTCACAGCTTTACCCCTTAGCACCCAAGACAATGCTGAGTAGATGGTTCAATAACCACCTGGGGTATGAACTCAAGGGCAAGGACGTGGTCTTGCAATTTTTATGTCACTTCTGACTACAAATGTACTATCCTGGGAATTCAAACAAATGCTACTGACTACATGCAGAAAGGAATTACATTTAGTAAGAACAGAGAGTAAGTACAATTAGTACCTTTTTTCCCCTCTTTCTTCCCTTCAGACCACTTCAATCTTGTTGGTGTCATCGTGACAGCTGGAGAGCCAGAAAATAACTGTAATAAGAAAATTGTACAGTGGTTTCAATGTTCTAATGGCATTCCTATAGAGAGACTTTACTAAATGAATTATTTGTTTAATTTCAATGTGAAGAGTTTTTGTGAGACTGACATATTTATATCTCATTAATCTTAACTGATTTACTTAATGAAGTAGGCATGCCTAGGATATCTTGAAGCACCACCCCACAGGTAATGTAGACCTCAAATGTCACCTGTCACCTGTGGAATCTCCCAGTAAGAACTAACTGCTTCCTCCAGCACTTGTTTAAGGAGCTATTGTACTGTATTACTCATCTGCTTGTGACTAGTGATATCCTTCTTGAACTCAAAATGTGTGTTTGTTGAATGAATCAATGAAAACCAACAGAAAGAAGGTAGCATAAACGAAAGGACTGAGAAAAAGCCATTTGAATGGCCCAAAGAAACACAGAAAAACAGATGACAGTATATCAATTTTCCTCTTTTCTACAAATATACACACACAGACAGATAGTCCAAAGAACAGTGTCTTACTGAGTTCCTATTTTCTTTGCTGGCTCCCTTCAATTCACCAATGGCCACAGATTCTGGAGTGGGGTTCCTCTTTTTCTTTTCTGACATCATCTGATTTCCCAGGACCTTCCGCTGATTTAAGAACAGAAAACATTTGATTTATAAACACCTACTGTATCAACAGTGGTAAAGGCTAGGATAGCTTTCAAAACTGTATACTAGCCTTCAAAACTGTAATGTCCTTGGGTTAAAAAAATCTCAGCATTCTGATAACTCTGTATGGACCCTCTCAGGCCATCTTACACAAGAGAGGCCAAAGTATGTTACCAAAAAAACCCCAAATCATTACTTTTGTTTAAGTGATCACTTTTCTTCCACATTTAAAAGGGCTGAAAGGTTAGAAGCAACTTTATAGTGGATTTAAACAAGCTAATATAGGTCAATTACAGTGTGCTTCTGAGACCAGTTAACTCACAATATAGAAACACCAGTTACTCATCATATAATTTTTTCTCCAAAGATGTGCTGTCTCTCACAACTATTTAAAAAGTCCCTCCCCCCTACTCACCACTAAGGGATACTTAGGCTGGCTCTTCTCTAAGGCACTTCTTCCTCCCTGTCATTTACTCACACAGGACTGGAACATTTGGAGACATTCTATAAGAGTTCTTAATATAGCGACAAGAAGGTAGAGGCCTTCTTAAGGGGGTCACATGACTATACTGACATTCAGAGCAAGACTAAAAGCTCTTTCATCTCTGAACAGCTTAGAAATGATGTAGTTTACATAACCGCCAACAGTGACAATTCTACCATCTTTGGAGAAATCTTTCTTTTTTTCCCTTAGAGAATAAATTTGAATTCCAAAAAAAGAACATATCAAAACTAGAACATTAAACCCTACATTATAAATATCAGCAGCAATATTCAGAACATTCTGATTTAATAAATAATTTACATGAGAGGAGTTCTACAGGAAAAATCTCTAGCCAAAAAAGGGATCGAGACAGGCTAGATGGTCAATTATACCTTGATAAGGCTGAGGGAAAACACAAGTTAAAAATAATATTTTAGGCCAGGAGCGGTGGCTCACACCTATAATCTCAGCACTTTGGGAGGCTGAGGCGGGTGAATCACTTGAGACCAGGAGTTTAAGACCAGCCTGGCCAACATGGTGAAATACTGTCTCTACTAAAAATACAAAAATTAATTGGGCAGAGTGGTGCATGCCTGTAATCCCAGCTACTCGGGAGGCTGAGGCATGAGAATCACTTGAACCCGGGAAACGGAAGTTGCAGTGAGCTGAGATCATGCTACTGCACTCCAGCCTGTGCAACACAGTGAGACTGTGTCACACACAAAAAAAAAGACTAACACATAGAGAAACATTTATCTGACTATAACCTTTCTGATTATCAATCATCTCTATTACAGGGAAGTCAGAGGGAATGATAGATTCTTCCAAATGAGAAGAAAAAAATGAGAATAAACTAAGGATGTTCATTTTACTAGCCCTGAATAAGCAGGTAAATGCACTTTTAGGATTCTAGCTAAGAGATTTTTTTTTTAATGGGATAAAAGAAACATAACATAAAATGTACTATTTTAATCTTTTTTTTTTGAGACTGAGTCGTGCTCTGTCACCCACGCTGGAGTGCAGTGGCGCGATCTTGGCTCACTGCAAGCTCTGCCTCCCAGGTTCACGACACTCTCCTGTCTCAGCCTCCCGAGTAGCTAGGACTACAGGCACCTGCCACCACGCCCGGCTAATTTTTTGTATTTTTAGTAGAGATGGGGTTTCACCGTGTTAGCCAGATGGTCTCGATCTCCTGACGTTGTGATCCACCCGCCTCGGCCTCCCAAAGTGCTGGGACTACAGGTGTGAGCCACCGCGCCCGGCCCCTATTTTAACCATGTTTAAGTATACAGTTCAGTGGTATTAAGTATCTTCATAGTGCTGTGCAATCATCACCATCATCCATCTTCAGAACTTTCTCATCCTCCCAAACAGAAATACTGTACCCATTAAATAATATTTCCTCATTCTCTTCATACTCTTAGCTCCCCTGACAACCAACCACCTTCTCTACTTTCTGTCTCTACGAACCTGACTCATAGGTACCTCAGTGGAATCATACAGTATTTTTCCTTTTATGACTGGATTATTTCTCTTAGCATAATGTCTTCAAGATTCATGCATATTGTAGAATATGTCAGAATTTCCTTCCTTTTTAAGGACAAATAATGTTCCATTATCTGTATATCCAAGTTTTGTTATTCATTCATCGGTCAATAGACAGCTGGGTTGCTTCTCCCTTTTGGCTATTGTGAATAATGCTGCTATGAAGACGGGTGTACGAATATTGCCTCAAGACCCTGCTTTCGATTCTTTTGGGTATATACCGGGAGTAGCATTGCTGGATGATAAGGTCATTCTCTTTAAATTTTTTAGGAACTGCAATACTGTTTTCCACAGTAGCTGCTCCATTTTACATTCCTATCAACAGTGCACAGGGATTCCAATTTCTCCACATCCTCATCAACATTTGTTATTTTGTTATTTTTTTTTAATAATAGCCATCCTAGTGGCTGTGAAGTGGTATCTACTTGTGGTTTTGATTTACATTTCCCTAATGATTAGTAATGTTGAACATCTTTTCATGTACTTCTTGGCCATCTGTACATCTTCTCTGGAGAAATGTCTATTTTATTCCTTTTTTTCTTTTTTTTTTTTTTTTTGGGAGATGAAGTCTCGCTCTATCACCCAGGCAGAAGTACAGTGGCGCAATCTCGGCTTACTGCAACCTCCGCCTCCTGGGTTTAAACGCTTCTCCTGCCTCAGCCTCCAGAGCAGCTGGGACTACAGGCACGTGCCAACATGCCCGGCTAATTTTTTGTATTTTTAGTAGAGATGGAGTTTCACCGTGTTAGCCAGAATGGTCTTAATCTCCTGACCTCATGATCCGCCCACCTCAGCCTCCCAAAGTGCTGGGATTACAGGCGTGATCCACCATGCCCGGCCTTTGCCCACTTTTTAATGAGGTTGTTTTTGCTGTGTTGAGTTACAGGAGTTATTTAGATTATTACGGATATTAACCCCTAATCATACATATGATTTGCAAATATTTTCTCCCAATCCAGGGGTTGCCTTTTCACTCTGTAGATGGCAAAGGAAATTTTGGTGTCAACTAAGCCTAATGTCCTAGAAGCTACTGGCCCCAGGTCAGGATTGAGAGTGAATTCTAGATATCTATAAATTATAACTAGGACCAAAATTACAGTAAGATGAATTTGTAAATGCTAACAGCTGTACCTTAAAAAAAAAAAAAAAATTACAGACACAGTGGCTCACATCTGTAATCTCAGCACTTTAGGGGGCCAAAGCAGGAGGATCGCTTGAGCCCAGAAATTCAAGATCAGCAACACAGGCTGTGCATGGCGACTCATGCCTGTAATCTCAGCACTTTGGGAGGCCGAAGCGGGCAGATTACCTGAGGCCAGGAGTTCAAGACCAGGCTGGCCAACATGGTGAAACCCCATCTCTACTAAAAATACAAAAAATTAGCCAGGCATGGTAGTGGGCACCTATAATCCCAGCTACTCGGGAGGCTGAGGTGGAAGAATCGCTTGAACCCCAGAGGTAGAGGTTGCAGTGAGCTGAGATCACACCACTGCACGCCAGCCTGAGACACAGAGAGAGACTCTGTCTCGAAACAAAAAAGACCAGCAACACAGCAAGACCCCATCTCTACAAATATTTAAAAATCAGCCAGGCCTGACGGCATGCACTTGTGGTCCCAGCTACTTGGGAGGCTGAAGAAGGAGGATAGCTGAGTGCCCAGGAGATCAAAGCTGCAATAAGCCACGATAGTGCCACTTGTACTTCAGCCTGGGCAACAGAGCAAGACACTGTCTCAAAAATAAAAAAATAAATATTACAAGTTATTTATTTTTAGGGCAAAAATTTTAAATTTTAAGCAAAGAGCTCCTTATGTGGCTGGAATTATAGATCTTAATAACAATTTTTAAAAGAAAAGCAGGGCAAAACACCAAAAAATCAAAATAAAACAAAATCATTATCCTCAGCAAACTAACACAGGAACAGAAAACCAAACACCACATGTTCTCACTTATGAGTAGGAGCTGGCCGGGTGCGGTGGCTCACACCTATAATCCCAGAACTTTGAAAGGCCAAGGTGGGTGGATCACTTGAGGTCAGGAGTTTGAGACCAGCCTGGCCAACATGATGAAACCCCATCCCTACTAAAAATACAAAAATGAGCCAGTCATGGTGGTGCACGCCTGTAGTCCCAGCTACTTGGGAGGCTGAGGCAGGAAAATGGCTTGAAACCAGGAGGCGGAGGCTGCAGTGAGCCGAGATCAAGCCACTGCACTCCAGCCTGGGTGACAGAGAGAGCCTCCATCTAAAAAAAAAAAAAAAAGTGGAGCTAAACAATGAGAATACATGGACACAGGGAGGGGAACAACACACACTGGGGCCTGTTGGGGGGTGTGGTTGGGGGAGAGAGAGTATTAAGAAAAATAGCTGGCCAGACGCAATGGCTTATGCCTGTAATCCCAGCAATTTGGGAGGCTGAAGTGGACGAATCACCGGAGGTCAGGAGTTCCAGACCAGCCTGGCCAACATGGTGAAACCCCCTCTCTATTAAAAAGACAAAAATTAGCCGGGTATGGTGGCAGGCACCTGTAATCCCAGCTACTTGGGAAGCTGAGGCAGGAGAATCACTTGAACCCAAGAGGGGGAGGTTGCAGTGAGCCGAGACTGTGTCACTGCACTCCAGCCTGGGTGACAACAGTGAGACTCTGTTTCAAAAAAATTTTTTTTAATAAAAATAGCTGCTAATGCATGCTGGGCTTCATACCTAGGTGATGGGTTGACAGGTGCAGTAAACCACCATGGCACACATTTACCTATATAACAAACTTGCAATCCTGCACATGTATCCAGAACTAAAAATTTAAAAAATAAAATAAATTTAAAAAAGGATACTCAGTGCTTTGGGGGCAGCAATCTCTTCCAAAAAACAAACAAAAAAAAAGAAAAGTAGAAAAGAAAAGCAGTGTATGGTACTAATCTCTCTCCAAGTTAACCAAAACCTTGCCTTAGTTCATGCATGGAAATTTGAACCCCATGATCAAGTTATCTACTGCCACCTGAAGGCAATATTCCTTCACTACAAGTTCCGATAGTCTGAAGACTTGTAAATTTAATCTGCAAACACCACGACAGCAGCAATAACATGGAAGCATATTTTGTATTTGTTTTAAAAACAAGATTTTTACTGAATTTGATACATGGAAGAAAGTACAACTGTTAAAAATATTAAGCTCACAAAAATCTGGGGTATCAAAACTCACTAGTCTATTAGAAAATTCCGTTTTCTAACAGTTTCCCTAGTCTGTCACAACTTCCTCACTTCTCCACAGGTTTACCAAATTGCATTAAAAAGTGTGTAACTTGAAGCAGGTCAGAAAACAAAAGAGGCCGCTTACACTGCTCAGGAATGCAGACTCTGTCCTCAGCCCCAGAAGAAAAGGAAGGACCCTTACTTCTAGTACTCCTCACTTCACAGAGCCCCTTCTCTGATGTGAAACACGGCAAAGCGCTTTGCAATATAAAAGCTTTTCAACATTTTGTCTTCACCTCCTTATAAATTAGCCCTTTATAGGGTCCCCAAAAACAGAAGAAAACTTTTTATGCATAAGAAAAATCACACTGTTACATTTCCTAAAAATCAATGCTGAAAATGACAGCCCAGCACACCTACCTTAATAAGCCCACTGAAGGAGCGTGAACGAGCCCTCTTTTGTACCTGGGAAGCAGAAGGTTCTCGCCCTGGTGTCTGGGTCAATGATTGCTTATTAAACTAAAAGAAAACATAGAGAACATTTTATAAATATTTTCCCATCAAGACACAGCATTCTGTGACAACTAATAGCTAAGTGTAAATAAAAGTCCAGGAAAAACTGAGTCTGTGCATAGATGGATTAGGAGGTCAACAAGCAAATCACAAAGTCAGAAATGATGATGCCAAAAGAATTGGATTCAATTGCTCTGAGGGGCTCTGCACGCCACATTCCTTGAATGTAGAATTACTGTCCCTATTTTACAGACCAAAAAACTGAGACTTGGAGAGTTTATGAAATTTACCCACGATCCTCAGCTGCTAACCAAGACTTTTTTGCAACAAAGCATCTTGGAACCACAGAGTTATTGGCACAATCTAAAACAGTCCCTAATTTAACATAAATTACATACAGAAATTTTTTAAGTTACTAAAACTCTTTAAATGGACATCTATCATGACTGCTGGCCAACAATATCGTCAGAGGAAATACATCAGAATGCAGACTTGTCAATGCTATCAACATCAGCACTCTGGAGGTACCTAAAGTGGAAAATGAGAAGACCCAATGCATTGAATAATCTTATTCAATGCTTTGATTAGCCATTCATTTCCCACTTAAAAAGTAATAATAATATAGCATTTAACTCTTCTACTCTTCTGCCTTTTCTGGTTGTTGTTGTTGGAGACAAGAGTCTCACACTATTGCCCAGGCTGGAGTGCAGTGGCACAATTGCAGCTCACTGCAACCTCCGCCTCCCAGGTTCAAGCAATTCTCATGCCTCAGCCTCACGAATAGCTGGGATTACAGGCGTGCGCCACCACACTCAGCTAATTTTTTCTATTTTTAGTAGAGATGGGGTTTCATTGTGTTGGCCAGGCTGATCTCGAACTCCTGACCTCAAGTGATCCGCCCACCTCGGCCTCCCAAAGTGCTAGGATTACAGGCGTGGGCCACCACATCCAGCCTCTTCTGCCTTTTCTAACTATACTTTGAAAATTTCGGAATTGTAAAAATTTGGAAATTTTATCAGTTCGAGTTCTGGAGGTTAAAAATTATTTTTACATAAAACTACCAAGAGGTTCTCAAAGTTAATTATCTCAGCAAGCAGAAAAATTAGCCACGTCTAAAGAGCTTAGCTAGTAAGTATCCCTCCTGAATAAATTGGGACAAGTAAAAATGCATCGTTCCTGATGTTGGCAAGGGTACAGTAAGGTAAATTCTCTCATATCCAACTCGGGGGAGTGTTACCTGGCAAAATGTTCTGGGAGGGTATTTAGCAAGGTGTATCCAGAGCCTTTTTAAAATGCATATTAAAAAGTACACGCCACTAAAAATACAAAAATTAGCCAGGCATGGTGGCGTACATCTGCAGTCTCAGCTACTCAGGAGGCTGCAGTGGGAGGATCATGATCACCTGAGCCCAGGGAGGTTGAGGTTGCAGTGAGCCATGATTGTGCCACTGCACTCCAGCCTAGGCAACAGACTCAGGAGAAAAAAAAAAAAAAAAAAGTATACACCACACATAAAGAGTTCTTAGCCTGAAAAACTGAATTAGAATCAGATCAAACCTCTAGAAGTAGATCTAACTACCAGTTTATAGCATGAACAGTGGACTGTGAAACATGTTGAATAACATCACAGGAATGCAATCATTAAAATCCAGACTATAGGCCAAGCACAGTGGCTCATGCCTGTAATCTCAGCACTTTGGGAGGCCAAAGCCAGCAGATCACTTGAGCTCAAGAGTTCATGACCAGCCTAGGCAACATGGCGAAACTCTGTCTCTACAAAAAATACAAAAATTAGCCAGGCATGGTGGCACACGCCTGTAGTCCCGGCTACTCAGGAGGCTGAAGTGGGAGGATGGCTTGAACCCAGAAGGCAGAGGTTGCAGTGAGCTGAGATCACGTCATTCCAGTCTAGGCAACATAGCTAGACCTTGTCTCAAAAGAAAAAAAAAAAAAACTCAGTCTATGGAAGACAATATAGTTTCTTCCACAAATAAGTTTCAAATACAATAATGTACCGCATAATGACATTTTGGTCAATGACAGACCACACATATGACAGTAGTCCCATCAGATTATAATGGAGGTGAAAAATTCCTATCACCTAATGACGTCACTGCCGTCCTAACATCACAGCACAATGTGTTACTCAAATGACTGCAGTGATACCGGAATAAACAAACCTACTGTACGGCTAGCTGTATAAAAGTCTAGTACATACCATTATATATAGTACGTAATTCTTGATAACGATAATAAATGGGCTAGACATGGCAGTTCACATCTGTAATCCCAACACTTTAGGAGGCCGAGACAGGTGGGTCACTTGAGACCAGAAGTTCAAGACCAGCCTGGCCAACAGGGTGAAACCTCATCTCTACTAAAAATACAAAAATTAGCCAGGCGTGGTGGCAGGCGCCTGTAATCCCAGCTACTCAGGAGGCTGAGGCAGGAGAATCACTTGAACCTGGGAGGCAGAGGTTGCAGTGAGCCAAGATTGCACCACTGCACTCCAGCCTGGGCGACAGAGCGAAGCTCCATCTCCAAAAAAAAAAAACGATAATAAATGTTACTGGTTTATGTATTTACTATACTATACTTTTATCATTTTATTTTAGAGTGCACTCCTACTTATTTTTTTTTTAAAGTTAACTATAAAACAGCCTCAGGCAGGTCTTTCGGGAGGTATTCTAGAAAAAGGCATTGTTATCATAGGAGATGACAGCTCCATGAGTGTTATTGCCTCTGAAGACCTTCTAGTGGAATAAGATGTAGAGACAGAAGACGGCGATATTAATGATCGTGTGTAGGCCTAGGTTAATGTGTGTATTTGTGTCTTCAGTTTTGGGTTTTTTTTATTTTTTAGAGACAGGGTCTTGCTCTGTTGCCCAGGCTGGAGTGCAGTGGGAGGGATCACAGCTCACTGCAGCCTCAAACTCCTGGGCTCAAGTGATTCTTCCTGCTGAGGCTGAGGCCTCCTGAGTAGCAGGACTACAGGCACTAACTCACGAGCCCAGTTCACTTTTTTTTATATTTTGTGGATACAAGGTCGATGCTGCCCAGGGTGGTCTCGAACTCCTGGCCTAAAGCAATCCTTCCACTTTGGCCTCCCAAAGTGCTGAGATTACAGGAGTGAGTCACCACGCCCAGGCTGTGTCTTAATTTTTAATTAAAAAGTTTTAAAATTTACAAAAAAAATTAAAAGTTTTTAAAATAGAAAAAAGTTTATAAAGATATAAAGAAAATATTTTGTACAGATGCATAGTGTTTTTGTGTTTTAAGCTAAGTGTTATTACAAGAGTCAGAAAGCTAAAAAAGTTCTAAGTCTGTAAAGCAAAAAAGTTACAGTAAGCTAAAGGTAATTAATTATTGAAGAAAAAAATGTTATGTTTAGTCTAGCCTAAGTGTACAGTGACTATAAAGCCTACAGCTGTGTACAGCAATGTTCTAGGTCTTCACATTCACTCACTACTCACTCGCTGACACACCTAGAATAACTTCCAGTCCTGCAAGCTCCATTCATGGTAACTGCCCGATACAGGTATACTATTTTTTACCTTTTATACTATATTTTTACCGTACCTTTCCTATGTTTAGATACACAAATACTTACCATTGTTACAAATGCCTACAGTACTCAATACAGTAACATCCCATACATGTTTGTAGCCCAGAAGCAACAGGCTACACCATACAGCCTAGGTGTGTAGTAAGCTACGCTGTCTAGGTTTATGTAAGTACACTCTGTGATGTTCACACAACAATGAAATCACCTAAAAACACATTTCTTAGAACATATCCCAATCATCAAGTGACACATGACTATAAAGAAAAAGGGAGTGGGCCAGGAACGGTGTCTCCCGACTGTAATCCCAACACTTTGGGAGGCCAAGGTGGGGGGACCACGAGGTCAGGAGATTGAGACCATCCTGGCCAACATGGTGAAATCCCATCTCTACTAAAATACAAAAAAAAATTAGCCAGGCGTGGTGGCGCACGCCTGTAGTCCCAGCTATCCTGGAGGCTGAGTCGGGGGAATCGCTTGAACCCAGGAGGTGGAGACTGCAGTGAGCCAAGATCGGAGATTGTGCCACTGCACTCCAGCCTGATAACAGAGCAAAACTCCGTCTCAAAAAAAAATAGAAAAAAGAAACAAAAAGGGAGTGAGAGACAGAGAGAGAGAGAGAGAGAGAGAGTGTGTGTGTGTGTGTCTGTGTGTGTCTGTGTGTGTCTAAATGTAGTGTGGCACCCTGGATTGGATCCCGGAGCAAAAAAAAAGGATATTGGGGGGGAAAAAAAGTAAAATCTGTAATGTTAATAAGTAATGTACTAATTTTTTTTTTTTTTGGACACTGAGTTTCACTCGTTGTCCAGGCTGGAGTGCAATGGTGTGATCTCGGCTCACAGCAACCTCTGCCTCCCTGGTTCGAGCGATTCTCCTCTGCCTCAGCCTCCCGAGTAGCTGGGATTATAGGCCTGCGCCATCACACTTGGCTAATTTTGTATTTTTAGTAGAGACAGGGTTTCTCCATGTTGGTCAGGCTGGTCTCGAACTCCCGACCTCAGGTGATCCGCCCACCTCAGCCTCCCAAAGTGCTGTGATTATAGGCATGAGCCACCCTGCCCGGCCCTGTACTAATGTTAATTTCTTAGTTTTTATAATGTTAATATTATGGGGATTTGGGTAAAGGGTACTTACCCAGTTTTTATTTTAAAGTGTATTCAAACAAACTGGCAATGTTTTAAGGGGAAAAACAAGAAGAAAGGGAGAAAAAGAGGGACTTATCTATTAAAAGGGACCTAGTACATATAGCAGCCAAAAAAATAATATATACTTGTTCATCATGCTACTTCTAGCAAATAATCTACAATGAAAATACTTATGAACAAAATTTATAAACTAAAAATATAATTCCCAAATATGTCCTTTAGTAGGCAAATTATGTATAAATTTGGTTATGCAGAATAGAATATTATACAAACATTTAAGGTTGGGCATGGTGACCCATGTCTATAATCCCAGCACTTTGGGAACCCAAGGCAAGCAGATCACCTGAGGCCAGGAGTTCGAGACCAGCCTGGCCAACATGGTATAATCCCGTCTCTACTAAAAATATAAAAATTAGCCAGGCATGGTGGTGCTCCACTGTAATCTCAGCTACTTGGGAGGCTGAGGCAGAACTGTTTGAGCCCAGGAGGTGGAGGCTGCAGTGAGGTGAGATCACGCCACTGCACTCCAGCCTAGGTGACAGAGGGGAACTCTGTCTCAAAAAAAAAAAAAAAAGAGTATTACATAAACATTGAAACTGTTCATAGCCTTTTAATAATACGAGAAATGGGCCGGGCGCGGTGGCTCAAGCCTGTAATCCCAGCACTTTGGGAGGCCGAGACGGGTGGATCACGAGGTCAGGAGATCGAGACCATCCTGGCTAACACGGTGAAACCCCGTCTCTACTAAAAATACACAAAAAACTAGCCGGGCGAGGTGGCGGGCGCCTGTAGTCCCAGCTACTCCGGAGGCTGAGGCAGGAGAATGGCGGGAACCCGGGAGGCGGAGCTTGCAGTGAGCTGAGATCCCGCCACTGCACTCCAGCCTGGGCGACAGAGCGAGACGCCGTCTCAAAAAAAAAAAAAAGAAATACGAGAAATGTTTGTAATATAAAGTTAAATGAAAAGGGCAGAATATAAAACAATACATATTATGATTTTTTCTTTTGGCCCAGATGTAAGGGCTCAAATATGATCTTAAGTAAAAGAAAACAATGTGAAACACATATTCATGGAGAGAAATACTAGGAGGAAATACTCTAAAATGTTATCAGTGTTTACCTCTGGATGTGTATAGGTGATTTTTATGTTCTCTTTACACACTTCTGAGAGTTTCAATGTTTCTATAGTGAGCATGTATAATTTTTATAATCATAGAGAAAAAATTAGAACACAATAAAATTATAGTTTCTTCAAAAAGATACAGCAGGCTGGGTGTGGTGGCTCACACCTGTAATCCCAGCACTTTGGGAGGTGAGGCGGGTAGATCATTTGAGTTCAGGAGTTCGAGAACAGCCTGACCAACGTGGTGAAACCCCATCACTACTAAAAATACAAAAACATTAGCTGGGCATGGTGGCACATGCCTATAATCCCAGCTACTCAGGAGGCTGAAGCAGGAGAATTGCTAGAATCCAGGAGGCGGAGGTTGCAGTGAGCCAAGATCGAGCCACTGCACTCAAATATGATCTTTTATTTAAGATCATATTTACTTAAGATCATATTTGAGCCCTTACATCTACACTCCAGCCTGGGCAACACAGCGAGACTCCGTCTCAAAAAAAAAAAAGATACAGCAGTATTTAAAATGTATGGAAGGATGGCTAGGTGCAGTGGCTCACACCTGTAATCCCAGTACTTTGGGAGGCCGAGACAGGTGGATCACTTGAGGTCAGGAGTTCAAGACCAGCCTGGCCAACATGGTGAAACTCCATCTCTACTAAAAATGCGAAAATTAGTCAGGCATGGTGGCGCACGCGTGTTGTCCTAGCTACTCAGGAGGCTGACGCAGAAGAATTGCTTGAACCCGGGAGGCAGAGGTGGCAGTGAGCCAAGATTGTACCACCGCACTCCAGCCTGGGCAACAGAGCAAGACTCTGTCTCAAAAAACTAAAAATAAAAATAAAAATAAAATAAAGTGTATGGAAGGAGTCTGTCTGCATGCATAACAAATGCTTAGACTGTCATGTTTGGCGAAAACAGGAAAACATTTTAAAGTAGATGGTATGATCATAACTATGTAAAAAGATATCCAGAGGAAAAAGACCAAAAGACAAAAGAAATGCCCACAACATAAACACTGGCAGGAAGAGTAATTTGCTTTCTTCTTATCCTTCTCTATAATTTTCTGTTTTTCTAAAAAGTACAAATTTTTTTCTTTCTTAAGTATCAGTGGTTTTTTTTTTTTTTATTTGAGACAGGGTTTCGCTCTTGTTGCCCCCGGCCTGGATGCCCAATGCCATGATCTCGCCTCACCCGCACTCCGCTCCTGGCTCCAAGCAATTCCTCTGCCTCCAGCCTCCCAGAAGTAGCTGGGAATTACCAGGCATAGCTACCACACGCCTGGCTAATTTGTTTTTGTTTTGTTTTGTTTTTGCTTTTTCTGAGACAGAGTTTCACTCCTTGTTGCCCAGCCTGGAGTGCAATGGCATGATCACTCACCGCACCAACCTCTACCTTCTCGCGTTCAAGCAATTTCTCGCCGCCTCAGCTTCTAAGTAGCTGGGATTACAGGTATGCGCCACCCACCACCTGGCCTGATTTTTTTGGGTATTTCTTAGCGTACAGCCAGACCCAGAGCTTTCTCCATGTTAGTCAGGCCGATCTCGAACTCCCGAGACTCAGGTGATCTGCCCCGCCTTGGCCTGCCCAAAGTGCTGGGATTACAGGCGTGAGCCACCACGCCCGGCCCTAATTTTGTATTTTTAGTAGAGACGGGGTTTCTCCATGTTGGTCAGGCTGGTCTTGAACTCTCAACCTCAGGTGATCCACCCGCCTCGGCCTCCCAAAGTGCTGGGATTACAGGTGTGAGCCACTGCGCCCAGCCGGTATCAGCGTTCTTGTTGAAAGAAGTCATTATACCTGTCCTACATGAAACTACTTAGTTTCTATCAAGAATTAAATCACTAGACTGGCTTGAATCTGCAGCAATACTCAGCCAACATTCTGTAAAATTCTAACACAATTTGCTAGATCTCAAAGTAACTTCAAAGAGATGGCAGAAACTTTTCTCAAATGACTTTGTCAATTCTTAAGAACAGCTCAGTTCACCATTATCTGAGTACTTGTTTATACCTGGCCTTATGCTGAGAGTAGGTATAAAATAAGTAAAGAGACTCCTCCTCCAAGAAAGTCCCAGTTGAATAAAAGTCAAGAGGCTAACCGTGCCTGTTCAGGTAAAATTCAAGAGGGATTGAGACAAAATTAATCTCCTGAGAAAGAAACTACCAAAGTCACAGGACTTACTTAAACCACACTTTGAGTCCCAAAATAGTAAATTTATTCCCATAGCTCCAGCATAAACAAACTTAGCCACCAGAATTTCTACTTTCTAGTATCACACTAGGGCCCTGATTTATTGTGTTCTCTAACTGCAAACGACTGTTAGTAAAAAGTTACCACTTAGACTTTGCTATGCCAGCCACTCTACATAGATTATCTCTAATTTTTAGAACTATGAAACATTGAGATTACTATTACCATTTTACAAACAAGAAAACTGAAACTCAGAAAAGTTATTTGCTAAGAAAATCTGGAGGGTTTAAACTTTGGAACAATATAGTGTAACTGCTGGTCCTCTCTCAGCAAACTTGGGACATGACCAAAATGAGAGACACTCTAATCACACTTGGATCCTCCTGTTTAACTGTAGAAATCAAGAGCCTCCACTCCTTTCTCTAGTGGAGCAGTAGCACAGAGATCGCCGTGGAGATTCCATAGACAAGCCTGCTTTCTTGGCTGAGCCAAAAATTAAATGAGATTCTTAACAATATGACCTACTGATTCTACAACCACGATTACACTCCTAAACCGAATCGGGACTTCCCTGCCTTTAGGCACCTGTCTAATAAGTTGTTTCTTCTTTGCTGACTCTGGCATATTGTGAACGTGTTGAAACAGCTCTCTCAGTGCCTCTTCCGTATGCTGCTGGGTCTCCTCCTGGTGAGGGCAGGAATCTACCCGGTTACGTTTCTGAGACTTTGCCAGCTGAAAGGACTTAGTATGACATGAAGCTATCAGGTCAAGGTCATCCTAAGGAAAATTTAAAAGAAGAGTAAATTAATATATCCTGCCAAGTTTGTTTTGGGGTTCTTACAAAAACCTGGAATAAAAAAAGGGAGAGTGGTGACATGGTATACTCCTATACTCAGGAACAAGAAAAATCTTAACACTATTATCAGATAACAAGGAACCTATTAATATAGGTTATATTAATAGCCCACTCCCATGACCTGCCCAGAGAACCTAAGTGCATTTAGAATACTGCCACCAAGAGTTATATTTGTATAAGAGTTCAGTTTTTAAAGCATCTTTTAATTTCATTAATTTATTCAACAATTCAACAAGGTAAGCATGGAAAGTATCATGATTCCCATCTGACAATGGAAAAACACTGAGGTTAAACTGTAAGTTTAAAGTCATCTGGATACTAAAGTGACAGATCCACCTGGGAGCCCAAGGGCTCTGACTCTTGGCTAATACTCATTCCCACACGTGGCAACTTCATATGACAACTAGACAGCAGTGCTAGAGGAACAAAAACAGCTCTCTAACAAAAAACCACACTCCATTTAAACTAGTTGAAATCAAATACTGTTTTCCTGGTAACACTGAATATTTGCTGAATAAGAGGGAGAAACAAATAGGAGCAGAAAAAATAGCACAAGTGGACAACTTAAGTTTCTAACCATGACAGGATGAATAGAACTTGAAAAATTTAAGTACTCAAAAAGTGCTTGTAAAGTTTTTAACTTCTGACTTTTTTTTTTTTTTTTTTCAAAGCAGGAGTGCAAGTTTATTTAAAAAGGCTTAGAACAGGAAAGAAAGGAAAGTATGCTTGGAAAAGACCCAAGCAGGCACATAAAGATCAAGTGCCTAACCTCTCACTTTTTTTTTTTTTTTTTTTTTTTTAAGGCGGAGTCTCGCTCTGCCGCCCAGGTTGGAGTGCCCTGGCCGGATCTCAGCTCACTGCAAGCTCCGCCTCCTGGGTTCACGCCATTCTCCGGCCTCAGCCTCCCGGAGACTGGGACTACAGGCGCCCGCCACCTCGCCCGGCTAGTTTTTTGTATTTTTAGTAGAGACGGGGTTTCACCGTGTTAGCCAGGATGGTCTCGATCTCCTGACCTCGTGATCCGCCCGTCTCGGCCTCCCAAAGTGCTGGGATTACAGGCTTGAGCCACCGCGCCCGGCCACCTCTCACTTTTTTTATTTTTTTGAGATGGTGTCTCACTCTGTCACCCAGACTGGAGTACAGTGTCACCATCTTGGCTTACTGCAACCTCCACCTCCTGGGCTCAAGTGATCCGCCCACCTCAGCCTCCCAAGTAGCTGAGACTACAGGTGCGTGCCACCACACCTGGCTAATTTTTTGCATTTTTGGCAGAGACGGGGTTTGGCCATGTTACCCAAGGTGGTCTCAAACTCCTGATCTCAAGTGATCCGCCTGCCTCGGCCTCTGAAAGTGCTAGGATTACAGGCATGAGTCACCACACCCGGCCATAACTTCTTACTTTTAAAACTCAATAATCGTATCTAGGCTGGATGTGGTGGATCACGCCTGTAATCCCAGCACTTTGGGAGGCTGAGGCAGCCGGACCACTTAAGCCCAGGAGTTTGAGACCTGGGCAACATGGTGAAACCCTGTCTCCACCAAAAATACAAAAATTAGTGGGCCTGGTGGTGCATGCCTATAGTCCCAGCTACTCAGGAGGTTGACATGAGAGGACCAGGGAGCCGAGATCATGCCACTGCACTCCAGCTTACCCGACAGAGTGAAACCCTGTCACAAAAAAAAAAAAAAAAAAAAAAAATCATTATCATATCTAATCTTGTGAATAAGCATTATACATTTCCCTATCTATCTAAGCTCATGTGGTCTCAAGTATTTTAGCCATTTGATAGAGTTTTACCATACCAATGAACCTAAAATAGGAATGAATTATATAAAATTGATAAAATTGTCCTTTCATTCCTATAAAATGTTTAACACATTTGCTATTCACAGATTATTTATATCAGAAGGACTTTATGAAAAACCTTGAAACACAGGGTCTGTGTCATCACTCTTGCGCAGAGGACACCATCTATCAGTAGAGAGCCTCTGAAAGCAAATAAAAATAGTGTGTAGGGGGGACTTTTTTTTTCAAGAGACAGGGTCTCACTGTGTTACCCAGGTTGGAATGCAGTGGCACAATCAGCTCACTGTAGACCTGAATTCTCCCATCTCAGCCTCCAGAGTCACTGGGATTACAGGCCTGAGCTACCACACCTCACATGTGGAGCATTTGTATTCTAATACATAACTTACTTCTTAGTCTTCTCCATTATGGCAAAATGACTAAGTAATTTTGAGCTATAATACTAAAAACTTATTTTCCAAGCTTTTACTTTGACTTCATACTTTGTTTTAAAACTCCACCAATCTTAACGTTCTCCTTGCTTGGGTTAAGAGCAGATTCCTATTCTTACCTTTGATGCCTGAGTTCTGGATCCCAAATAGTGCAATCTGGCACATTCCCGAATGTAAGCAGGAGCCTGGGCAGGACATAAAAGAAAATCAAAACCCAGTGATTACTAGGATATAACATTCTCTCAGGCCACAAGGACAGTGGTTCTCAAAATCATGTGACCAGCAGATTACTTTAGAAAAGCCAAAGATCCTCAAAATTCATAGCCCCTCCATAGCTTCCTTTATCTTGCCACCAAATAGATACCTCAACAAATCTGATGGAAAAACCATGAGAAGACACCAATGTAGTTGTTGCCACTTTAAAAATCAAACATGGCATGTATATATTCAAATAAGCCAAAGACAAAAATATAGACATTTGTAGGAATGTTTCTATCTGACAAAAACCACCCCCTCAAATCCTTACAAATTACAAGTGGTCTCCAGATCACATTTTAAAATCACAGTGTAGAAAATTCATTTAACGTCTGTAATCTCAGCACTTTGGCAGGCAGAAGCAGGAGGATCACTTCACTCCAGGAGTTTGAGACCAGCCTGGGCAACACAGGGAGACCCCCGTCTCTACAAAAAATTACTAAAAAATGGCCAAGCACGGTGGCTCATGCCTGTAATCCCAGCACTATGGGAGGCCGAGATGGGCGGATCACCTGAGGTCAGGAGTTTGAGACCAGCCTGACCAACATGGTGAAACCCTATCTCTACTAAAAATACAAAATTAGCTGAGCGTGGTGGCGTATGCCTGTAATTGCAGCTACTCAGGAGGCTGAGGCAGGAGAATTGCTTGAACCCAGGAGACAAGAGGTTGCAGTGAGCCAAGATCTCACCATTGCACTCCAGCCTGGGCAACAAGAGCAAAACTCTGTCTCAAAAAAAAAAATTACAAAAAAATTACCCGGGCATGGTGGTGCATGCCTGTGGTCCCAGCTACTCAGGAGACTAACGGTGAGAATCACTTGAGCCCAGAAGTTCAAGGCTGCAGTGAGCCATGTTCATACCACTGCACTCCCGCCTGGGCAACAGAGCAAGACCCTGTCTCAAAAAAGAAAGAAAGAAAGAAATACCATTTAGAATTACTATGGAGTAGAATCTTGTGACAACTACCCTGATACTGTCTTAGTAGATGTACAAAATAATACAATTACCATAGAGGAAAACTGAGTATGTAACATCTAATAAAATTACATTTGCATTTACCTTTTCACCCAGAAACCTCACTTCTGGTAACATATCCTGAGTATGTAACTCCAGAAATGCAAAACACACTTGTATAAGATTAATCAAGAAATTGGATACAACCCGAATGTTCTTTAACAGAGAAATGATTGAATCAACTTTCATACATCCATGCAATACAGCACTATGAAGAAAGGAAGGGAGAGGAGACAGGGAGGGAAAGAAAGGAAGGAACAGAGAGAAAGAAAGAAAGGAAAGGAAAGGAGAGAGAGAAAAAGAAAGGACAGAGGGAAGGAAGAAACACTTAATGAATTGATATGGAAGGATTTCTAGGATATACTGTTGAGTGAGAAAAGTAAGTAAATGTACATTTGTGTAAGAAAAAAATGGGAAATAGCAATATACACACAAATATACATTTACTTGTTTTTATAAAAAGAAACACTAAGAGGATAACCCAGAAAACAATGAAAAGAATTAGAAAGGATTGAGATTTCTCTAAGTCTATCTTTTAATGTGTTTTGACTTTTTTTTTTTTTTTTTGAGATGGAGTCTCATTCTCTCGCCCAGGCTGGAGTGCAATGGCACGATCTCGGTTCACTGCAACCTCCACCTCCCAGGTTCCAGTGATTCTTCTGCCTCAGCCTCCCAAGTAGCTGGGACCACAGGCACCCACCATCATGCCCAGCTAATTTTTGTACTTTAGTAGAGATGGGGTTTCACCATGTTGTCCAGGCTGGTCTTGAACTCCTGACCTCAGGTGATCCACCTGCCTCAGCCTCCCAAAGTGCTGGGATTACAGGGGTGGACCACTGCACCCACCCTGCCATTATTTTATTTATTTATTTATTTATTTATTTTGAGATGGAGTCTCATTCTCTCGCCCAGGCTGGAGTGCAATGGCACGATCTCGGTTCACTGCAACCTCCACCTCCCAGGTTCCAGTGATTCTTCTGCCTCAGCCTCCCAAGTAGCTGGGACCACAGGCACCCACCATCATGCCCAGCTAATTTTTGTACTTTTGTAGAGATGGGGTTTCACCACGTTGGCCAGGCTGCTCTCAAACTCCTGACCTCAGGTGATCCGCCTGCTTCGGCCTCCCAAAGTGCTGGGATTACAGGCCTAAGCCACAGCGACTTTTGAACCATGTTTACACTACAGGTTCATAACATAAAATTAAATCCAAAAGGAAAAAAAAAGACAAGCCCTAAAACCAAACACCCAACAGGAAAAAAAAAGAACATATCTGTATATCAAACTGACAATGTGAGCACAGAGAAAGAAATTATTTCATATAACTTTTGAAAACTGTATTCTCGGCTGGGCGTGGTGGCTCACGCCTGTAATCCCAGCACTTTGGGAGGCCGAGGCAGGCGGATCACGAGGTCAGGAGATCGAGACCATCCTGGCTAACAGGGTGAAACCCCGTCTGTACTAAAAATACAAAAAACTAGCCGGGCGTGGCGGCGGGCGGCTGTAGTCCCAGCTACTCAGAAAGCTGAGGCAGGAAAATGGCGTGAACCCAGGAGGCGGAGCTTGCAGTGAGCAGAGATCGTGTCACTGCACTCCAGCCTGGGTGACTGAGCGAGACTCCGTCTCAAAAAAAAAAAAAAAACTGTATTCTGACTATATATCCTTAGTGGGATATATTCAAGGAAAAAGGAATTGCAAGAAAATCTTGAACTTCAATCAGCAAGTTTATATAGGCTTACTGTCAGTAGTGACAGTTGTATTATTTTGAAATTAATTTAAGCTTATTGTAGGACAGAGTAAATAACATATACAAATGCCATTAAAATCTAAAATTTGGCCGGGCACAGAGGATCATGCCTGTAATCACAGCACTTTGGGAGGCCAAAGAGGGTAGATCACTTGAGCCCAGGAGTTTGAGACCAGCCTGGACAACATGGTGAAACCCCATCTCTACAAAAAATACAAAAATTAGCCGGGTGTGGTGGCGCTCACCTGTGGACCCAGCTACTTGAGAGGCTGAGGTGGGAGGATCGACTGGTCCCAGGAGGCAGAGGCTGCTGTAAGCCCAGATTGTGCTACTGCACTCCAGCCTGGGTGACAGAGCAAAACTCTCCAAAAACAGAAAAAAAAAAAATCTGAAATTTGCAATATAAGAAAAAAAGAAATACAAATACAAAACAAAAGAAGCCAAGAAAACGTTCTGTAGTATTAAATCTGAATTGGTGGTATTAATATGAACTTACAATTGCTTTTAAAAAAATGTTTAATCTATTTCTTTGCCCTCAAGCAGCCTAGAAGCAATGACACACCAGAAACAATGAGTATATCTAGTGTCACTCAGAAGCCAAAGTTCCCTGGTGAAATAATTACTCCAGATCTAGGCCAGCACAAGTACAAAGCGAGCTGGGAACATTTTATACCAGAAAGGAAACACTCAAAGACAATACAGTCCTGTCAAAAAGATGGAGAAGTCAGTTAACAAGGGCTATCACTGGCCAAATCTGGGATAATTTAAATATCAATTTTGTTTGTTTGTTTGTGACAGGGTCTCACTGTCACCCAGGCTGGAGTGCAGTGGCATAATCTCGACTCAGTGCAACCTCCACCTCCCGGGCTCAAGTCATCCTACCACCTTAGCCTCTGAGTAGCTGGGACCGCAGCAGCATGCCATCACACCCAGCTAATATTTGTATTTTTCGTAGAGATGGGGTTTCACCACATTGCCCAAGAGAATATCAACATTATAAATAAAACTGACTAACACTTCGGAAAAATAAAAATCCATGAGTTTATATTAATATTCATTTTTAAAGGGAGAGAGAATGAGACAAAGAAAAGCTATGTTCCAAAGAAGAAAGTCAGCTAATAAAGACTGAATGACAAAATTAGAAAATCATCATTTTTAATACCCAATGTAATCATAGATTCCAGCAGGATTATCAATGGATGCTAAAACCATTATTAGGTAATCACTCTACAGGTTATTTACTAATTGCAAAGGGGAAAAAATGTACCTTTATAACTGAAAGATCCAGCAGTTAGCAAAACTAACATCGTGAAGAGCAAGAAAATCAAACAATCTGTGCCTCCTCATGTGAGGCAACGTGACGCACACAAACATCACCTGTGAAGTATCTTTGCCGAAAATGCTTAATCTGAATCTGATTAAGACTCTAGACCTAGCTTCTAGTTTACAGGAACTGCATGGAAGGTGATAGAGGAACAAGTTAAATAACTTGAGAAAACAATAAGACGAATTTAGAATGTGCGACGTTCTACAACACAGTTAACTTGATGCTTCAACAAATGACATGAAGAAAAAGCATGAGTGTGCAGCTTCAAAGTGTCATAATAATTAAAACCAATACAGAAACGTTGATTGGCATATATTGAAAACAAGTATGAAATACATTCTTAGGACAGCTGGGGAATTTGAATATGTACTGAAAGTGAGATGGTAAGAAATTCTTGTTAGTTTCTTAGATGTGATAATAGTAGTGTGATAAGATAATATTTTTATTATTAGGAGATGCTTACTTAAGTACTTAGGAATGAAGCATGATGTCGTCTGCAATTACTTTTAGTGATTCAGCCAAAAAAAGGTAGGAACATATATAAACAGAAATAAAGCTAGTATGGCAAAATGATAACATCTGTTGACAGTGGGGGAGAGTTACATGAGTATTCACTGTTTTACTCTAACTTTTCTCTATATTTGAAATTTTTCAAAATAAAGGTTTTTTAAAGAGTCTCGTGACAAAAACATTATGATATGTATAGTTTAATTTCTTTTTTTTTTTTTTCTTTTTTTTTTTTGAGATGGAGTCTTGCTCTGTCGCCAGGCTGGAGTGCAGTGGTGCAATCTCGGCTCACCGCAACCTCCGCCTCCTGGCTTCAACTGATTCTCCTGCCTCAGTCT